CCGGCAGATTGTAATGGAGATGGAAGCTAGTTTCTATCCTACACCAGTCAAATATCGTTCCAGGGCTTACCGCATTCTTAGCATTATTTTTATCAATCGTTTACTTTACGGGCTATTCACTTGTTAGCTAAGCTTAGTCCACATTTCCCTTCATCTTGTCCTTCCATCAACCGATAACTTAAGTATAATTACAAGCGCAGCATAGGTCTTTACCAAAGAAATAGTCAGAACCAAAGTTACTCTGGTGCAGCACATTTGTATGGCATGCTTGATTACTTAACTTCTGACTCGCTTAAGTTGGCCTCGAAATTTATGTGCTGCTTTTGTCTTGTATTTGTAGGTCAGCATCCAGATGGCCAACGCCAAGTTCCATTATGGCTTCGAGTACCTTGGTGTCATCGATCGCCTCGTGCAAACCCCTCTCACGGATCGCTGCTATCTGACCATGACGCAAGCACTCGAGGCTCGATTAGGTGGCTCTCCATTCGGCCCTGCTGGCACAGGAAAAACGGAATCAGTCAAAGCACTCGGCACACAATTAGGACGATTCGTATTAGTCTTCAATTGTGATGAGACCTTTGATTTCCATGTATGTTCTTCCTTGGATGTCTGTTAAATTTTTGGACGTCAAATTGCATACTTTTTAATTTAAGTATTCTTAGCTTTTGTACTTATGCAACTAATTACTTAAATTCATAAAAATACAGAATAAATATTATTTCTCATACCCATCAGTGGAATTCATATTAATTGAGTATTTAGATGTTTTATATATCATTATTCCTTTATAAATCGATATTTAATTAGCTGTACTTTAAAATTTTTTAGCATACCATTATCACAAGAACTAACAATTGAGTATTTAGATGATTTATATATCATTATTCCTTTATAAATCGATATTTAATTAGCTGTACTTTAAAATTTTTTAGCATACCATTATCACAAGAACTAACAATTATGAGAGGAATCAATTACATGAAAAAGTCGAACGACTGACATTTTGCCAAACTTGGGGGGAATATGTTTTTATAAATGTTTTTACTACCTAAAGAAGATAGCTTCTTATTTCATACATAAAACTATTTTAGTAACAATTAAATATGGTTATATTTGGTCTCCTCAATCAGAATTTTTATGCTATGTTTGCAATAAATGAAATCGCGTAGTTTACATAATATGAAATTTTAAGAAGGTCTATTAAATATGCTATATCATTTGTTAAAATTTTCTTTGAAGAATGGAAATTCCAACTAGTTCAATACTTTAGGCTCAGAAATAATATCAGAAATTAGAATAGATAGGGAAATGTAATGGAGGTTGTTTGACCCTGTTTTCGCAACTTGTTCATATTGTCATGAAGACCTAGAGGAGTCCTGGAGTCCATAGTGTGCATGATAATTTTCGGAGTCAGACCATGGACTTGATATATTACCGGACGTTTCGCTGGCATCGTCTGTGAGCCTTGCCATTCTTATCATCACACTACAACTAGTCAAAGAGACAAGTGAAGTCGATCCTTTGACTAATTATCCTCTAAACAGTTGTGGTATCTCTCCTGCCCTGGGATATTCACCTATCCTATATCATCACGTCACTCCTTAATATCTCAATTTCTTACTTGTTTATCGAAACCTATTATGATATTGTAGGGGTGATATGAGGATATAGGATAAGTGAATACCTCGGGACAGGAGTAGAGATACCATAACTGTTTAGCAGGCAATTAGTTAGGGAATCGACTTCACATGTCTCTCTGACGAGTTGTAGTGGGATGCAAAGAATAGCAAGAATCAGTGACGATGCCGGTGATAATTCTGGTAACGTACCAAGTCCACGGTCCGACTCTGGAAATGATGATGCATACAATGGACTCCGGACTAGGTGCGTTCCTCTAAGTCT